TATTTACTATGGATTCAACCTCTCGATGCTCCCCTTGTCCTTCCGGGATGTCGAAAGCTTCAGTCAACACAGTCCTTAGCCCACATCTATCTAATAAGAGTCCTTACCCCGCATTCATCAATATCAATAAAAGTCGCAGGCGTGAAGGTTTAGTATACTCACTTCTAGTTACCGCACAACGTCCTATCTTCATTCCCTTGGAACTATGTATTGCAGTTGGCAGATCACAGAAGGAAGTCAATAGCATACTAGAGTAGAGGGTAGGGGGGAAGGTACTGATTTAGCAATACAGCTAAACCACTAATTATCTAGGCGCCTATCTCTTTTCTTTTGTTACAGAATTCAAGAGTCAGGCATGAAAGATCAGAGAAAAAGGAATCAGTCTTAGAAGTTCATAGATGGTTAAATGCAGTCCTCGGAGAATAACTAGGAGAGAAAGAACTAAGAAGAAATAACTCTAGCAACAGGGAAAGAGAACTCCTAAGAGTAAGAGCAGCCCTTCGTGTAGGAAGGTGTAGGAGCGAAGCCACTCTTGCCCCTTCTTCCACTAGTCTTAGAGCGGAAAGAGTAACCGAGAAAAGGCATGAAGGGGCTTACTAATAATAAAGAGAAGGCATGAATGAAGGAGCCTAGTCTATTTGAGGCGGGATGCCCAAGAATAGAAGTAGCCATATGCCGAAAATCGTCTTCTGTGATGTCAGGGAGAAATCGTCTGCTCACTTGCGACAAGAGGGCATTCTCTGCCATTGATTCTAGCACAACCGATTCTCTTACTAAAGAGGTTGTAGAATAAGATGTGATGCTACTACTTCTATTGAGACGTGACCACCCAGGAAAGCCAGATCCGGATAAAGGGGGCAATGTCCTGACTTTCGCTTTAGGAAGAAATCCAGACTTTGGAGCTCAGCTTAGGGATCAGAGGCGAACCACCTAGTATGGTACACAATCAGTTCACTAAGACAATCGGAGTGACCGGGCTATGAAGTCCACCCAGCTTTTCGGGTTTACCGAGCAACACTCGTGGAATGGCGATTCGGAGTTAGGTTAACGGGCTTGAAGGCGTGACCCCTTTGATTTTCTTTATTTGGCGGGGTTACCGCGGTTCCTTCGACTTTCGTTTCGGGATTAACGGGACCCTTATATTTACTCAGACTCCGATTGGTAGGCAATCAACAGTCATAACAACGAGATTCCCCACTGACTGCCTCTATCAGATAGTACGCAGGTCTTTTTCCGGAAAGAACTCATTTTCTAATAGAACTGGTTTGCAATAATATGTGCTGCTCCTCCTTCTCTTGAGAGTTCCCTCGGGCAAAGAGCAATCCATCCTTGTACCCATACAAAGACTCACTCTTTAGGGAAAGTTATTTCTTCTTCTTGGCGAAGAGAATCAGTAAGACAATCGGGATAGCGGAATGCCTGTCTATGTCTAAGGGGGTGGAGGATAGGAAAATACTTTATAATAGATAGATAGATAGACACAAACGAAAGAAAGCCCTGGGTGAAGAGAAGAGTGCCTATGTCCCGTCCCCATTGGGTAGGTAATCAAGAGGTAGAACCAGGAGATGAACCAATGAATTCCTCTATAAGATAGTATGCAGGTCTTTTTAAAGAACTCACCTTTTAGGGTACAAAACCGATTCTCTTAGAAAAGGGGTTCGTGAAGAATTCGTGAATAAGATGTCCTGCGTTCGGACTTAGAGTGACCCCGATAAAGCGGACAACCTGGAGGGAATTCCTCACAAAGAGGAAAGCCTTAGCTTAGCCTTCTAAAGTAGACGATTTTCCACCTAGAATGAATGTGAAAAGAAGATGAAAGAATCGTGTGATACTATAGCTAGCTAGATCCCCAGAGGAATCGCTCGACTTAGCCCTTTGGCGGGCGGGCTTCGAGGACCCTACAACCTAATTCTTTATGCATGGATGCAGGTATTATTATCGCTTAACGCTTGTGCTAAGGAAGAGCCAACTCCTTTCTTTGGGATCAGCGCTTGTGGTACAATCCATTTCTTTTATAGTACACAACCGAGTCTCTTAATAAAGAGAAGTTGGGGACATAGTAAACCTCCTACTATAAGAGCGATTCCCTGGGACCAGGCCCTATTACGTAAGGGGGGAAGGGGAAAGATTGAATCTTGAAAGACTGAGCCCGGCTAGCAAGATCGGGAGGTTTAGTGTCCTCTTAAGAAGGAATACCCAACTTCTGGGGTCAGCTTCGATCACGAGGAGAGAAGAGCGGACCATTTAAAGTCTCAATTCCTATCCGCCCAAGGTATTATTATCGCTTAGCGCTTGTGCTAAGGTGGAGAGTTCGATTTCAAATCCAACGATTTATTGACCTACGAATCTGCTATTACGCAACTCAACCCTTCTCCGCAAACTCTTTCAGTTGTTGGATGCGCAAAACAACCTATTCCCCTTTCCGACGACTCGGTGACCTTTGACACGTTACACCTGGTTGCACGTAATCTTGACTTTCGCCTTTCACTCGTGCAGTTGGCCAATCAAACTAATTACTCTCTAGTGACTTTGAACCTTGAGACCGAGCCCTGCCTCTCACCTTTCGGTTCATTGCAAGGTATTATTATCGCTTAGCGCTTGTGCTAAGGAAGAAGGGGGTAAAACAAACATCTTTTGACATGTCGAATATTCACTAACGAAAGTGGGCTTCTATCATGAGTTTCAGCTCCCTTTTGGGCTGAGGGTTGAATTGCGTGCCTAAGTGGGCTTCCAGTGATTGCTGCAGCTAGCCTTTTATTATATCACGTAGGTGACGAGACAGAGATAAGGTGACCTTTATCTGGCTACCCGAGTCTCCGGTATGGTTCTTCGTCTTCTCCTACTGCTACTACGTCCAATTCAACGAGACGCCGGTTACGATTCGACGAAAAGAGAGCCGGTACAATCGATTAAAGGCATTGGGGGAGCTTGAGCTTCCGGGCGAGGATTCCACGGTAGCAGCTGATTCATCACTTGCGGTAACTGCCTCACTCGACGCATAGGACGTATAGGAATCGGGAATTGGCACCCTCCGAATGAGCCAATACTGGATCATCGGGTAAACCATATCAAACAAATGGTAGCTGTGTGGATGATCGGAGCGGGTCTCTTTATTTGTAGGTTAGCGATCTGCATCAATTGGTTCTAATAAAAGCCAGCGACCGACAAAGAGTGCCTTATTCACTTTCGGGTACGACCGGTACACGTCTTGTCTGGCAGAGTAGGGTCACCCACCCTCCGAACCATGGCAATCCTGAACTAGCGTTCCCCATGCTCTACAGAGCCCTTCCTTCTGACTGATTCCTTTTCATAACCAGACTACATCAACTACACAGACGAATGCATTAGGAGGAGCAAGAGGCGTATTCTGTTCCGTACAAGTGATCCATAAGTGCATCACCTGAGGTATGGGAGGTCGGGAGCTCTTCTCGTGAGATCGATCCGGAGTAAACAGACTTAAGAAACCAACTAGCCAACTGGCTACGCCAGACCAACGTCAAAAGCAGCCTATGCCCGCTTATCTTTCTTCTTGCTGGTAGCGACCTCTTCTTCGCCGAAGTCTTCTTCCCGTTCTCGACAGCCTATTGATTGGTATGGTAACAAGGTTCACATACTTTTCCTCACATAGTACCATACATCAAGATCTGTCCCGCTGGCATAAAGGCGCGGATCCATCTTTATAGGCTTCTAGAAGTGAAAGAGCTTCCCCAAGCAAGATAGTCTTTCTTATAAAAACAGAAAGCAATCTGCCGTACTCGCCAAATTGATTACAGGCTGCCACTCTCAGTTACCGGCTCTTGAACGAAAACCTGCAAATTCGATAAGATATTCATGAACATGGATACCACCTCCAAGACTTCGTAGCTTCCCTTCCTAGACCCCTGGGAAGCCCTACATTTGCTAGTCAGTTTAAGAATTCCTAGTATTTTAAGTGGAGATCTGGTGCCCCCACACCAAGAGGTCTTTTGCTTTCGGTTTCAGCCTAATAAGAAAAGGGATTGATTGCAAGTCTAGAATCTCCTTTGAAAGTTTTATTATCTGAACTGAAAAACCAAGTCGCGAACGGATTCTAATCCTTGATTTCAACCAGGCGTTGTTTTGTCGATGCGATTGGCGATTGGGGTTTCCCCTTTTCTAGTAGTTCTCGTGTGAAGCGCCCTAGATCAAAGGGGAGATTCAAAGCAAAGTCAGATGAGAAAACGCCGATTAGGAGATGCACGAATATTTATTCGATGTCTAGTTCCACCTATAAGATTCTTTAATTTGAACCCTATAACGTCATCCCCCTTATGGGAAGAACAGCCTTCGATTTACGGGCTGAAAGCGGACATAGCAACATCCTACCGAAACATCAGACACGCGCCTTCAAGCTGCCGGATTGGCATACCTAATCGAGCATCATCTGCTATTCACCAGCAGAGCTTTGCAGCTTATTCTTCCCTCTCCAGTTGAGGAAGTTTACTAGCTCGACCAAAGGTAGGGAGAGGGAGAGGAAGGGTGCCGACAACCCTAGATATCTATTAAAAAAGGGCAGGCTAGGAGGTTCTGTTACTGAACTCGAACCCACTAAGCGGGATCCCTTGCCTGGTCTTACAGCTCAAAAAGGAGGATGAAGAATTGGGAGCCCAGTTCCTCATGCCAATAAGGGGTATTAGACCCTACCCGCAGGGAGTACGCTTGAACGGCACTATACTACCCACTAAGACCCGCTTTCTTGAGAGAGAAGCCTATGTTCTTGAGAGAGAAGCCTATGTTCTTGAGAGAGAAGCCTATGGACCCTTTCTCAATCTCAATAGGAATTGAGGGAGCTCATGGGGACTTCTAGCTACAGGACCAGTTACTAGTCCTCAAGAAAGATCAGATCACGCAGATCTTCCGCTTAAATCCACCTATGGAATATCTTGCGGAAACTACTCTCTTGACACAATTTGCATCAAAAAACACGGGGTTTATGGAATTTGTGTAGTCCGGGACAGAGACTAAATATATAGTTTCGTACCTTAGAGTTTCAATATAGGAGTCGGAAGCGAGAGATTAGAGAATAGAAAGTAAGGAACTGTCTGAAAGTTTGTCCCTTCAAAGCCAACTTCGTCTCTGAACTCAAGCCTTCCCTTTGACCCGCGTATCCTATCTGTAACCGAACCTGCGGGAAAGCCTACTGAAGAAGGAAAAGCAACCATATCTCCTTGGCAAACAAGACGGAACCGAAGCTATGTGCATAGTCTTACCCCTGCCCAATCTACTCAAAGGATTAGAGATCATGAACGAGAAAATCTCAATGAAAGACCGGAACTTACCTACGGGCTGACCTACGATCACCTATTCTTTTTTGAGTTTTTTCATGCAATGGGACTTTCGAGCAGAGACCATTGACTGGAGCAGATGAGAAAGCAGAAGAATCCAAGCCGATTTACACCAAGGGGTAAGGGGCAGGAAGGAGCCGCTTAACAAGGCACTTCCATTTCTCGCTCATCCGCTCGCAGCTAAAAAGCTATCCTTTGCTTTGATCCATTACTGGTTCCGCAGGCTCAAGCTTACTTCATTTTCCATCTCTCTATTTTTCTTTCTATTTTCTCGCCCAGCTAACCAGCAAGCTCTAACCCGGCCATCTATCTTTTGATTAACCATCCTCTCCTCTACTTATTCTCCCTTAATCTTCTTCCGAACTCTCTTTCTCTTTCCAGAGATGGAGGATCTGATAAACCAATGAGGGAACGGGGGGAAGAACAACACGGGTTTCACTGACTCACGCCCCCGAAGAAATGCAAACTGCGAGCAACATGCTCTTGCCTCATACATTCTATCCTGAGAATAGTAGCGGGCACTAAAAAGAACCCCCCATAAGTATTTAAATCCCCATTCAGAGACAAAGTTGACTTGGAAGGGACAAAGATACTTACCCCGTTCGATCCGTGCTTTTAACTGTGGCAGCGGGCAAATAGTCCTTACGTGCGGGTACTGGCCCCCTCTGGGGTGCGATATGCTCTATTTTTTTGGCAATCCATCGAAATTTCGATTAGGGCGATTCCGTTTAGTAAGATAGATGCGGATAAGGACTCCAACCTTGCTAACAAGTGAGCGAGTAGGTGGAGTTCCCCTTAGCCTCGACCAACATTCCATGCCTGGGGTTCTCCGATCTGCTTTCTTATTCGTCTCTTCGGATGAAACAAGGTTAGCATTTCTGATTGTTCGTTAATAAGAATTACAAGTAAAAGCACCTTAATTGCCCGGCTATGGCTGCTGCGGGGGATACGGGAGTACCCAACCCCGCTTGCTAGACATTTCTTTCGCTATCCTATCTAAAAGGCTGCTCGATCAAGCCGCTAAGAAAAAAAAGAACAGGTCTCTTAGAGCCTTTCTTCTTCGGCTTCGTTTCTTGCTTGAGGTGGGGGACCAAAGTGGCCGTTAGGCATCTCCGTGGAATGGAATCTCGTTCTCTACCCTTCTATTCGTGAGGCGGTGGGGCATAGGCTGAGTTAAACATGACCCATTGAAAGGGAAAAGCCATATCATATGGACAGGAGTGAGCTTCCCCCTGGCCTAACTCTTGCTGATGAACCTTACTCGCTTGCTAACTCCCTTCCCTGTAAGACCTCTGCTTGAGACTATCCTAGGATGAGAGCTGGAAGGGATAGGATTTCTGCCTTCCACGGCTAAGACGGAATTTAATTTCGAGATGCGAAGAATAGCCGTCTTTCGCCTGGGAACGGACATGAAAAAGGAATTTCTAGAATCATATGAATGTGCACCCTATGATTTCGTCAACCCTCTTCCTGATACTAGGGACATTGGCTTCTTTCTTACCTATAATATTACCAACTGCTGTTATTCCGCTAAAGCCAGGAGAGCGTCTAATGAAAGTGGAAAAATCGTCTGGCCCGAAAATCGTCTTCTTTCTGTCCTCCGAAAAAGAAAAAGGAGTTAGAATATTGACATTATCAATTGCCCACGTGAAAGCTTTAAAGCAAGGTTCGCAAGACAGTCAGAATCAGAAAGAGAGGTATGCCTTAAAAGAACCGTTATCCCACAGGGTTTATCCCGCTAAACAGCTCTTAGTCCGCACTTCTATCGTGCATTCTAAGACCATGCCAGCCTAAAAGAAGAAGAGTCACTCACTCCTCCGCCAAGAAGTAAAGCAACCCCTGCTGTTCTCATTGCTGCGTCGAAAGGGGTAGGGAGGGTATCTAGGGCTAAGCCCGGCAAAATGCACATAACATAATCGGATTCTTTTTCTGTATAGTAGGAGAGGTCTATCAATGACTTAAAAACGACGTTGCCTACTCACCACCTTGCTCTTATGAAAGAGGACATTCGTGAACAACCCCTAGATTCGGATTAGTGAAAATCGAAAACGCTAGATTAACGAACAGCGGTTATTAGCCTAAGAGCGCTTACTGTAAGACCGTTTCACAGCAGCGGATGTGGTTATTCCTCGAACAGCGCTTATTGCAAAGAGCCAAAGAGCCTTTTCTTCCTAAGGAGATATTCATTAAACCATTAACAGTCGAACCGACCGGAGAGAGATTGCTTCCATCACAGACCGGAGAAGGTCACTAGCCTCAAAGCCGATAAGACCCTAAGACGCGACAACAACAAAAGGCATTTTCTTTCAAAAAAGCCTAACTTGAAAACTCTTATCTACGCTATTTAGCCCGACTCCTTTCTTTCCCCATGTGGAATCAGTCCCTGCTTTGCTTTGGTTTGGCTCTTTCTGTAACAACCTACCGGGCAAGATAAGGAGGAACGAACGTCAGAAGTCCCACAGCATATTCTGGTCCATCTGCAGCCTATGTCCATCAATCCTCCTCTCTTGCGGGGTAAACGCTTTCTAAAGATGGGCATTCAATCGGAATTGATAGAGTTATAGGAAAAATCAACCTTGCCCTTGGCTTGGGTACTTTAGATAGCTATTCCGAGAAAGACGCTAGGCCCCTCGCCCTATAACGCTTCTCGGCTTTCAAGAAATTCCTACTTATGATTCCGAACTCATATCCGTAGATGCCTTATTCAGTCTTAGAGCTAAGAGTTAAGCGCTTAAATCAATTCAAGCCGTTTGGTTGCTAAATGCAAAAAAAAGAAATTTCCATTTTCCACTTAACATGAGTTAAATACAGTTAGACCTAAACGACATTCATTAGAACATAAAAATTATCTTTTCTTGTCGTCTGTTTTGCTTCAGTTTTTAAAATAGAAGCTAATCATTTTTGTTGAATTTCTGCACCAGATCCAAGTTATATAAAGTTTGTGTTCAACGCCAAAAACTTTCCATCGGAGGATTACTATGACTATATAATTGTAGGAGGTGGCACTGCCGGTTGTCCGTTGGCCGCCACCTTGTCACAGTCCTATCGAGTTCTTGTGCTTGAACGAGGTGGCGTTCCCTATGGCAACCCCAATTTGATGACCCAAGAAAGATTCTTGGCCACACTCACTGAGGTTGATACATTTGACTCCCATGCCCAAGCCGAGGATGGGGTCCCCAACGCCAGAGGACACATTCTTGGTGGCAACAGTTCCATAAATGCCGGCTTTTACAGCGGAGCAGACCAGCAATTCTATCAGAAATCGGGTGGGACCTGAGAGTTGTGAACGAGCCGTACGAGTGGGTTGAGAAGGCAGTTGTCTTTAGGCCGGAGCTTAGGAACTGGCAATCATTGGTTAGAGCCGATGTTCCTTTCCTTGGCAGTCGAGCTCCTTCGGATCCTTTTATCTTGGGCATCTCACTTGTAATGCAAAGCATTCTTTTCGATCTTGTACCCACGGCACTGAACACCAACCCAATCTCGATGATAAAAGAAAACTACAAGCAACTACATCAATCAACTACAGCTTGAGAGCGGATACAATGCACCACTGATTTTTTATATAGAGTTATTTCTCAAACCTATCTTTACTTGATACTTGATGGCACGCTCGCTCTGTAGGACTCGAATTCAATCACTGAAACCGATTAAACGCATGTTAAGAGCATACTCGCGGATGAGCAGGTCAACATGCCGATCGGTTCTTAGGGGGAGTTCCCTACTCCGCTAACGCTATGATCCGGTCAAGGCGAATGGATGTAGTGAAGTTACCATTTACTACTTAAGATATTGTGTTAGCAAGCAAGACGTGACTTCTCGCTGATGATGTTTAGTCAGGTCTAGTGCTCTCTCTCTATGAAAATAGTCGTCTGTCTCACTTCCCGAAGAGAGGGAAACCACTCCTTCTCCGTTCTTCTGCGATAAGAATGTTCCCAACGACTCGTTTGAGGCTGATATGTATAGCCGTAGTGGTTCTTCCGGGCCGAGGAGGCATTAGCACTGGTGCCTCAGAGAGGTCATCCTTGATTCGTCTAAAGGCTAGCTCTCGTCCTATACAAACTCTTCATCCTCTGTGTTGTCTTGGGCGGAATGGATCATCAGAGGGTGGAAATTTCCTCCAATCGGAATACTTGCTTTTCCATAGGGATTGCATGCCCACTTTAGGGATTAATCACTTCACGGGAGAGAACACGAGGGATGAGCGACGATCGACCTACCTAAGTTTTTACTAGTCATCATCGGCTTACCCGCTTGCTGAAACCTCCCTCCATAGCCGATTGAATGCTTGGATAGCCACTTAACTGTTCACTATACTTCCTGTATCCCCCCTCCCCCCCTCCCTATCTCTCTCGACCCATTCACCGGATTATGTTGGGCTGGAATGCCTTCATTCCCATCCCATCTTTTATGATCTCTGGGCCTTCCCACTATGAGATATTCCCAGTGCAGAAGCATATTCATGCAGAATACTCTTCTACTTCTTTCCCCGGGTAGGAATTCCTAGAGGAGGATATAAGGTCATTTTGTCATCAGTGGAGGAGCATGCGTGATACAGATACTCCTCTATGCGAATGTTCTGGCTTTCAAAAGACGAGTAAGGGACGGGGAGGGGGAAGGGGGAGTTTCGGGAACAAAGCCCCGGATTTAAAAGTGCAGCCCTACCCTATATATAGTATCTTTTCCCTATCTAAGCTATATCAACATAGCCAACTAGAAAACTCATCCGCTTGTCAATTAATTCTTGGTGTAATACTCACTCGAAAATGATTGGTGTCAGAATTTTTCACTGATCAGGTGTGATCAGTCTCATCCGTGTAAGAATTAGGAATTCCTCTTCCAACCTGTCCCGGAATGGGCGTTATGGCAAAGAATAAGAAGAAAACTAAAGAAGAAATTTGTCCAATAGTAACAAATGGTGCCTCCACAGGTTGACATCCGATCCAACCTAGTAGTAAGCAATCCGCCAAAAGCAACCAAAATATTCCTTGGTGAATAGGGCGAAAACTTGAACTACGCACATACATACTTTTAAAAAAAGGTAAAGCCAACAGACATATAAAAACTGGTGCTATTGCGGCTACACCTCCCGATTTGTCAGGTATACTACGAAGAATGGCATGGATCGGTAGGAAATACCATTCCGGCACAATATGAGGCGGGGTGGGCATCGGATTAGCAGGTATATAATTGTCGGGATGCCCCAAAACATTAGGAGCATAAAAAATCCAAATGGAAGAAAAGATAGCAAAAGCTACCCAACCTACTAGATCCTTTACATAAAAATAAGGGTAAAAAGAAATTTTATCCATCTCTGAATGTACACCCAATGGATTATTTGATCCATATTGATGCAATGCGGCCAGATGAAGAAGACTGGCGCCTACTAAAATAAAGGGGAGTAAATGATGAAGACTAAAAAAACGATTTAAGGTGGCATTGTCCACGGAGAAACCGCCCCAAAGCCAAGTCACTATGGTATCCCCTACTACAGGTATGGCGCTAGCTAAGCTTGTAATTACTGTAGCTCCCCAAAAGCTCATCTGACCCCAAGGTAGTACGTATCCTGTAAAAGCTGTCACAATCATTAATAGGAAGATTACAACTCCGAGACACCGAACAAATTCCCTAGGACTGCTATAACTCGCATGATATAGACCGCGAAAAATATGAAGGTGAACCACAATGAGAAACATACTTGCCCCATTAGCATGCATATAACGGAGCAACCAACCCCCTTCAACATCTCTCATAATGTGTTCTACGCTGTTGAAAGCTAGATCCACATGAGGTGTGTAATGCATAGCTAAAAAAACGCCAGTCACTATCTGAATGACTAAACAAATACCAGCTAACGGACCGAACCCCCACCAATAACTAAGATTGCTCGGGGTTGGATAATCTATCAAATGCTGATTAAGTGTGGAGGATATTGGTTGTTTAAGAAGAGAGAATCGTTGGTTCCTTATAGTCATTTATCTTTCCTATCGTGACAACTCTAGTTCCCCCGCCTTTTTAGCGTTCTGGGGCCCTACTTACTAAAAAAAATTGTTATATATTTATTTGGAAGATTCTTCTTTCCTCTGCGGTGAAAGAGGGCAAAGGTGTGTGGGAGAAAGAATTCTAAAAGGAGAGAAGATTTCGTCCACCAAGCGGGAGAGAGTGCGACCCCTAAGCAATTGGAGGTTCTCGCCGGGGTCCATATCATCTGAATACTTTTCCTGTTCCATTAGCATAGCTAAATTTTAATAGGATGACTCAGCGTCAGGAAAAGCAAGCCCCCCTTGCCTTGATTGAATTTGGCTTCGCTGCGCCCTGAATCAATCAAAAAGCTTATTGATTTAATCCATCCCATTTCATTTGGGCGAGAGGGAGGCTGTGAGTCACCTGGGGTACGGATTTGTCGGTTGATTGATTCTCGAAATCACCTCTTGAGAAAAAAAAGGGGCCTTCGGGTCCCGACCCACAAATGAATAGGAAGCGGGGCGAGGGTCTTTCATTAAAGGGAGAAAAGAGGGGTGGGGCTTTGTTCTGGGGGGGCCGCCTTGCGCAGCTTTAGAAGGGAGAGAATTTCAGGCGGTTAAAGTCACTCTCTCCAACCTTTTCTATCTATCCGGGCGAGAGAAAGTAAATATGAGATTTGCGTTGGTTTTTCCAACGAAAAAAAGCACTTTTTTGTCTTTATCATTCGGAAGGCTCAGTCCCACACTCTGACTTCAATGATGGGAACAACCTCTGCACCCCGGCGCTCTAATGAACAACAGTTCTCCGCCTTACTATATTTAGAATAGTGGTCGATCCCTCGGGAGTTACATTCGTAACTTAATGTTATGTTCACGCGGTGATATTCTATCTTTCCAGGAGTACTACCCTGTACGTAGTCTATGTCTGGGGAGCATACTTTACAGGAGATAGACACAGGCGGTAGAGAGGTCTCCCACTTCGATTCCCGCCCCGTTAGCATCTCCGATCCGAGATAAGGGATTACTCCGTTAGGTCTTTTCGGTCCGGAGCCGGCCGGTAATGGACCTACTTACCT